CACAGTCTTTCTGGTCCCTCTCACTCCCACCCACAACTTCCCCAGCCCCGTTGGTGCTCTTCATTCCCTTCCCACATCCCCCCAGCCCTGATGGTGCCCCTCACTCCCCACCCACAGAGGGGGCTCCTGGCTGCCAGGACTACAGGGCCAGGGACCTGGGTCTGCAGCCGCCTACCTCAGGCAGGAGGAAGTAGCTGCTGCAGCAGAGTGTATCCCAGCTCCCCTCCCCCCATTGCCTTCCCACTGCAGGCTTGGGGGGGGGGCGCTGCTTCCTGCTGCGAAACACACCACACTCCTGGGGGGGCAGGAGGACCTATGCCCCCTATATCTGTGCATGAGGTGGGGGGCTGTGTGATGCCCACTGTGAGCTCCCATCCTGCTGCCCTCCCCCAGCGCCTCTGCAGCCTGTGTGTGTGACCCAACACAGCAGAAAACAGCAGAGCCATGCAGGAAAGCTGCCTACCACTGCAAGCTCCACACTGCCCTGGCAAGGCAACCCCTTCCTGCACAGCTGCAGCAGGGGCAGCAGCATGGGATTGCATGCAGGGGTGCGGGCAGCGCAGAGTTTGCAATGGCAGGCAGCTTACTGCACAGTTCCATTGTTCCCTGCATTGCCGGGTCACACACACTCAGCTGCAGAGGCCCAGGGGGTGGGCAGCAGGATGGGAAGCATGAGTCTGAAGTGGGCAGTGGGCAGCATGCAGCCCCCATCCTGCATACAAATGTGGGGGCATGGGTCCTCCCTGCCCCTTTGGAGTGTGTGCAGCAGCAGGGAGCAACCCTCCCCTCCCCCACTTGAGCCCACAACAGGCAGCCTGCCCTGCTCCCACCCTGTGCATGGATCTAGGGGGATGTGGGTACCCCGCCCACCTGGAAGAGTGCGCAGCAGTGGAGAACCAGCCCTGCCCTACCCACCCCCCAGGGTAAGCCATCTGTGGCCCCATCCCACTCCCCGCAGGGGCCCTGTGGCTACACATTATGGCCCTGGGAATCAAGCCCCAGGCACTGCTGGGTTGGGCAGCAGCCCCAGCCCAGCCCTACTCAACTCCCTCTCTCCTTTCCTCCCTATGAGGGCCTTAATTTCTCCCAAACGTACCTGTGGGAGCTGGTCTCCAGGCTGCCTGGTGGCCATGGTGCCCCCTGCCTGACTGCTCACTTCCGCTCCCTCCCAGCCCCCTGCATGGGTATTAAAATGAGTATTTTAATAAATTTACTTTCTAATTCAAAAGTGAAAGAGTATGTTCAGTTTAATTATCATATTTACTTGAATACAAGATAAGGTCCATACCTCCAGTTGGCCTAGGGAAAAAGCCCCTCATCTTATAGGAATTCTCACTAAATATATTGTCTATCATTAACCTGCTGCCAAAAGCAGTATTACGTTCAGCAATGGAAACCAGCTATGAAGCTGATTAAATGTAGCCAACACTCAGCATGACTATAAAACACATAGCCCACATTGGGCAAACATGACCTGATCTTACCCACAAAAGGCCAAGAAGCCTATCTGAATAAGACGTGTAGTAATGCCCATTAGGTTCAATCTCCCTCACTGCCTACTTTTTTTCTAAGGCATGGGGAGCCACTGCAGTGCATGCATTTTGACTTCCTCTTCACTTCTACAGCTGAGCTATGCCTTTCTTTCCTATTTCCAATTATGCCTGTTTCACTAGCCTTAAATGTCTGGCAAACATAATGAAATGGGGCCACAAACAGTTCACCCAGGATCCCTCTGTCAGCCCCTCAGCCTCACATATGATTAGTGTGGCTCCACCCTCTGTGAGGTGGACCTAGACCAATTCCCCTGTTCCTTATCTTCATATCAATTTTTGGAGTATCCCAGGACTCATGACAAGAACGCTTGGTTCCAGTAATGAGTGGGGGGGTAATTAACACAGGGCTGTTTTGTAGGGGGTCTCTGGAGTACACAACCATACTGGGCAGTGCTGAGCTATGGGGTCACCATGGCTTGATATGCTGTTGACTCTGGTGGGGCCCAGCCCCATGAACTATTTTGTAAATCACAGGTTTTTGACTTTGAACCAATATCATGCCTAGACTAAGGGACAACTTTTGTTGTCAGAAAGAGTAGGTGAGGGCTTTGTCAGTACCATTCTGTTAAGTATCAATGCGTGAACCTGTAGTTATATAAGAAGAAAGGGTAAGATGTTCACTGAATCACACTGGATTTTTAAGCAAAGTGAATGACATGTTGTTTCTCATGTGACTTTATGTAATTTCTTGAAATTGTACTTGTATTCCCTTTGTGAGACCTTAGATGGGGTTCTTTTTAAAGCTGTTTGATATTGCCTGTTTTCTAATAAAATACTACAAAAAAAAAGTTTAAATATAAGTAGGTGCCAAAATATTGCTCAAAACTGTTTATGGAGTACTTGTGCCAAAATTTACAGCAGTTTGAAAAAAAATAACATACATTAATGAACTAAGTGTATAGGTATTATATGCAAATTACTACATTAATTTTTAATTTCAAGTTTATTGCTTACAGATTTATTCCTCACTTCTGTGTGATCAGGGAGAACACGGTCTGACAGTAAGGAGAGGGGAAAGAGGCTGCCAGGGGGAAAACCTGAAAGGAAGCAGAGAGGAAAGGGGCTACCTGAGACCCCAGATACATTTCAGCTGCTGTAGCAGTAAGAACAGGACGAATTCAAGGCAAACCTTCAATAATTAGATGCTTTTATGTGAAAAATTATAAACTACTTATATTTTTTCCATTTAGATAATCTAATTAGTTGGGGGTTGTCTTATAATCAGGGTCATCTTCTATTCTAGTAAATATGGTAGTTGACAGGTAGCATAAGAGGAGGAGTTATATTATTTATTTAGAGATATTCACTTCCTTCTTGGAGCACACCACAAAGATTAGCAGATAAAGTAAAAAGCATCTTAATGCCATTTTTTAAAATTAACTTCACTAAAGGTTGGCTCCTAAATCAGGATTTTAGTCTAAAATAAATGGCCTGAATTTCAAAAGCTCTGAGTACCTAGCAGCTTTCATGAAAATTGTATGTAAAAAAGTAACAGAATAATGCTAAATTGCACATAGAGCAGGTAGCTGATCCTTACTTCATTTTGGAAAAATGCCTGTAACAGAACAGAGGAGGAACTATGGTAAAGGATATATCTTCTAGGATTACGCTTGCTGACCACAGTATGTCACTGCTTTTTCCACACATTTGGCAGAGAGGACTTTGATCTACTGCTGGAAAGACTACTATCTATGGCTTGATGGGACTAAATTTCAGAGTTAGGATTTAAATTGGAAATTCTTCAAATTTAGGTGTGTTTGGATGGAATCATATCCCTTTCTCCCTCCCTTCTATTCTCTCTACAACAAAATGTGGTATGGCTTATTTCATATTGATTTCTCTGATGCAAGTTATCTTTGATGTTTGCAAAGTCTAGGAAAAGTTTGTAGTTAATTGTTTGGTTGATTAGCTATCTTCTTCTTTGGTTGATTAGCTAGCCTGACAGCAGCAGAACAATAATATTTAGGGTTTAGGAATTACTGTCAATTTTATGGCTTCATTGTAAGTGAAATGGAGTCTTGAAATGAAAAGTAGATATTTAGAATCTAGGTAAATAATTTACCACAAGAGTATTAAAAAGCCATGCTCTTGAAACTCAATTTCATGTCCCTTTAAATTCCTACCCAGGCCTGTAGAAATGAGCAGTCCAATTGCAATACCATGAATTCAATGAGACTGTGCTTGTACCTAGGGATAAGCTTTGTGACTAATTCTTATAAGACTGCACCCTAGATTTTCGAGAAAACTTTAGTGGTGCCAGCTTCAGGTGGTTCACAAGACTTCAGATAATTAAAACATTAGCAGAAAATCTTTTAAATTATATTTTTTCATTTTTAGAAATGGAAATAGATTTTTGAAGATTGCACAGTTTTCATCAAGGCTACAATTGTCAAATTAAGATCAAAATTAAAGAATGTACAGTGCGAGTATGCTAGTTCAGCATTTCCATCTATCATGTCAAGATCATATAAAGCTCAGCAGGCTACATTTGGAATTAATCTAGCATGGTAGTGGCCAAGTCCTTTGCAATAGAAAGGGGTTTCATAAACTTTTCCCATAGAACACCCCATGTCGCTAAGTACTGGTCTGTTCTGGCACATCTCCACTACAGGGTCAGCACACAAGTGATTTACTTTACAGGTGCTTTAATTAGGGTGGAACAAACAAAATAAAATACAAAATTCATCAGAATAGAAGTAATGGAAGAATAAGAGACTTGAAAAGTAAGGGCTCTTTACTGAAAGTTTTTATTTTCTTCTTTTTTATGTAGGTTCAACATGGGAGAAAACATTACGACAGATTGGTTTTGAAAGGTAAGCAGTCAGTTTCTCTCCTCAGCAGTGAATTTCTCTCCTCAACATGAAGTTATAGCTTAAAATAAAAAAAAAAAGGGGGGGGGGAAAGAAGAAGAAATGGACATACATATTTAGGTTGGCAAAGTTATTTATTTTAATTGATCCAATTTATGTGGGGTATCGAAATTAATGAGGATTATATAAAGACTTACTGTGTATATACTTCACTTTTGGGGTTTGTTTTTTTTTTGTTTCTCTTATCAAAAATCAGCTTGGGCTTCATGTGATACAAGTCTGGCTCATAGTAACTATTGCTGGGGCAATATAATGTATAGTTACAGCACCGCAATATTTGGTTAGAATATGAAAATATTATCCTTCCCCATATTTTTTCATGAGACTTCTAACCTAAGGCTGACAGAAAGAAAGGAATGTTGGAAAAGAATAAGACTGACGGGTAGAGCGCTATATAACATCCAGGGAAAACCCAGAAGCCAGCATTCCTGAAGTGCAAAGGCTTCTTGCAGCCAGACTTAACCTCAAGATCATTGTATCAAAAGCGTTTCTTTGGCAATTAAACTAGAGTTGGTCCTCATAAAGACTAATCTGTTCCTGAGGCTGAAATGCTCAATCTCTCTACGTGTTCCTGTACAAGAGTAAGCACAATATTCTGCCTTCCATGCCTAAGGAGCTTTTATCTTTTCTTAATGCTCAATATTTCTAGATTGCGTAAGAGTGTTCTGCTGCAAGGCAAAAGGTAGCTCTGTACTGGACTCTGGATGTAGAGGAAGAGTTAGGGTGTATTTTTTTTTAATGTTAAATATGTATAGGTTGCCTGATGTCTGTCACCAAAACAACAATAGCCAGGTCTTTCTGAACACTGTGATCACTCACATGAATTAGAAATTTGACAGGGAGCAAGTTGATATAAAATATATGGCTACCTTAAAGGCACAGTGATACTGAGGAGATGATATCTCTCCATTTTCATTATCTCTGTCTGGCATAGTCTCCCCAACAGTTCAGTTTTTTTGTGTTGTTGGCCAAATGTAAATACCTTGCTAGCATAAATTTTATTTTATTTATTTGTTTTGTTTATATGACTCCCTTACCAAAATAGGCTCAGAGTAGCTTACAGTAAAAAGAAAAGGAACAAAAAAAAAATGAAACCAAAAACCAAAATAACTTATAACAGTAGATACGTTAAACAAGATGTATGCTTTTATAATAAAAACATCCCAAGCAATACCTTAACTTAACCATGCTTGTTAAATGCCTACCAAATTAAAAAAAAAAGTTGATAGTTAATTCATTGAATCAGAATTATAAGACATAGATCAGTGTCAGAAATTTTTAAGTTACAATAAATGTATCTTTAGATTTAATTTATGACCAGGTAACTCACCACCTAGACAAGTGGCCAGTGGTGTCCCACAGGGGTCGTTGCTTGGTCCAGTGCTTTTCAACACCTTTATCAATGATTTGGATCTGGGGGTGAAGAGCTCACTGGCCAAATTAGTGGATGACACTAAGTTATTGGGGAGTGTGGTCATGCTTGAAGATAGGCTACAGATACAGGTGGACCTAGACAGGCTAGCAAGTTGGGCTGATCAGAACCAGATGAAGTTCAGCGTTGAGAAATGTAAAGTGCTCCACCTGGGGACGAACAACCTACAGGCTTGGTTGAACCAAAGTGACCAGCACCACAAATGAAAGGGGCCTGGAGGTAATAATAGACCATAGCATGAATATGAGTTGGCAATGCAACACTGTAGCCACTAGGGCAAATCATATTCTAGCATACATCAATCGATGCATCTTCAGCGAAACCAAGGAAATTATTTTTCCGCTCTGCTCAGCACTGGTGAGACCACAGCTGGAGTACTGCGTCCGGTTGTGGGTGCTGCACTTTAACAAGGATGTGAATAAGCTTGAGAGAGTCCAGAGGAGAGCCACCTGTATGATCACAGACTTGCATGGCAAGCCATATGAGGAAAGGCTAAGGGATCTGGGACTCTTTAGCCTGAAAAAGAGAAGGCTGAGAAGGGACTTGGTAGCCACTTCCTGCTACACTAGGGGAGTATATCAAAGGCTCGGTGAACAACTATTCACCAGGGCACCCTTGGAGATAACTAGGAGTAAAGGCCACAAACTCCTGGAAGACCGTTTCAGACTCAACATTAGAAAAAACTTCTTCACACTCAGGGTGTCCAGATCGCGGAATAGGCTTCTACCAGAGGTGGTACAATTGCCTACTTTGGAAATCTTCAAGAGGAGACTGGACAGTCACCTTGCCGGGCCCCTTTGACCCCAGTTGTCTTTCCTGCTTGGTGCAGGGGGCTGGACCCAATGATCTTCCAAGGTCCTTCCCTTCTTTTCAATCTATGAATCTATGAATTCCCCCTTCACTCTGAACATTCTCAGACCTTGATAGCAGTTACATTAAAAGCTGGTTTCTATGTCACTCTTGTCTAAAAGCATTTCATTTCACTAACTTCACCCAACCAGAAAAATTGACTGAACACTGTACCATTATAGTATCAGCAAAGGTAAGGGAAGATCAATACTATTGCATATCTTTAAAACAGTGTGTGTGGGCGGGGGGGAGGCGTTAAGCTTTCAAAGAACTGATGAAGTCTCATTCATTTATTTTTTTTGTAAAATCATTTTGAAACCATCTTTAATTATATTAACAAAGTATGAAACTTGTTTATATAGTCCACTATCTATACATTTATATTTGACTTCATTGGTATTTTATTGTGTATGTAGACTGAAGATTATACCAAGGTGTTTAGTGCCAGATTGTTTGGGACAGTATGCAGAAAGAATTAAATATTATTTTTAATGCCTTTGGAGTAATAAATATAAATTACTTTGGAGTAAATAAATATTTACAGGTTGACACATTTGATTTCCAGGAAGTTAAAAGGAGCAAGGGAAAAAAAGTTACTGTTTACATCAGTAAACTCCAGTTTTTTTACTGGAATTGATTTTCCTTTTAATTTTCACAGGCTGCTGTTAGTTTAAATGCAGGATTCCAGCTTAGTAGTGAGGGAGCTCTCTAACCACTTGTGCAGAAATTGCTTAAAATTACCATAGGGCCTGAATGAACCAACATGACCCGACAGCGTGATTCTCAACCACGGTGCCATGGCACTCTTGGGAGCCTTGAGATTCTTTCAGGTGTTCTGTGAGATACCATGCAATGTCAGCACTGTTAGGTGTGCAAACCTGATTTACAAGATAAATCCAGGGGGCGTTTATACATATGCTTTGGTAGTGGTGGGGACATTTTAATTAGAGAGCTTTAGTTAAAGCACCCCCACCACCGATTTTCAGTGTGGGCAGGCTGATACACATGATGCTGGAGTGTGCTGGAGTGCAGTAATTACCACGCTCCAGCAGACTCAATTACAGCATGTTGGAGCAGCCTCGCTGCATGTTTATAGGCACCCAGAGATTTCAGATAAGAACCTGTAGTGGCAAAGCATTCAGATCTGTTGTAGACTGTCTCAGTTCTTTGCAGTGAAAGAATTACTCTGTTCTGTAATCTAAAAATGAGTGAAAAGAAGGAACTAGTGTTTTTCAAGGGGTTCTTCAAGCCTAAAAAAGTTGAGAAACACTGCTCTGAATTGTAGAAATATCTGTTCTATAGTCAGTGTATTTGTGTTTTAAAAGTGCATTTTGTTTTTCCATGTGTTAGAGAAATTAAGACTTTAATGCATCAAATAAAACAAAAGAGCTCCTTATACCAAATAAGAACAGTGGACTAAATTAATTTCTGGCATGAATCACTTGACACTAGCAGAATGATAACAGTGATGAATTTGTCTCAACATTTTTAAGCTGCCAGACATAGTGATTGCATTGCCACCTTAGAACTTTGCACAATGGGAAAACATTCACATGAGAGGTCCTACTGATAATTTAGAAGCTAAACAAAAGTTCTGGCTGAGATGTTAGCCATTGAACTCTCATCTGGTGAGCCAACCCTTTAAGGGAAACCAGATAGTCTGCATTATGCTTCAGTCAGATTGGAATTACTTTTTAGTGTGGAGTGTTTGCCTCCAAAAAATTTAACAGACATTTTGGCTCTGGCACAGTTTGTCTTCTTTCAGAGAATTACTTGTTCTCAAGGCTTGCTGAACTCTGTCTTTACTCATAGGTTTTCAGAATCCTACGGTGTGTTTTCACACTTTCCATGAGAAACTTAATTACGTTTAATTTAATTGTATTTAAACTCAAGCTAAAGCTTAGTTCCTAGTTGCTTTCATGAAACCTCCTTCTGTGGGTGAATGTCTTATAGACAAATGGCTTGCTGAGTGGCTGTAATGCAAGAAATAAAAGTGTCATGAATTCAAGTCTCCTGGAGATAATTATCCAGAGATAGGCCACAGAATTATTTTCCTTGTCATCTTTAGAAATTTTCCATCTTTTGTGTCTATCTTAGACTTTCAGGAGAAAGAATTCAGACACATGTTCTGTCAGTAGTTGTTAATCAGAACTGCAGAAATTGCTTCCTTTGCAGAAAAGGACTCAGGAAATGTGTGCATTCTTGTTTTAATTTCCCAAAAGTCAGAAACATTAAGGCTTGGTTTGATCTGAAATCCATCCAGAGTTTCATGCTGAGAAGATTTACTTTATGAAAGATTTAAAAGCTGACCACTTAGAGAATGCCTGTGTCTTTGGGGTATTTTTTAGTTTATGGGGCAGTAGAGGAGACATATTTCCATGCAGTCATTTGACCTAATTCTCTATATTCACTTAAAAAATCTTTAATTGGAATAAATGCATTGGATTTATGAATGGAGTAAGAATCAGTATAGTTTTAACATTACTTCTGTGAGTAAAAAAAAGTTACAATTCCATTTTATTACAACAGATCTGTAGGCGCTTTTGTTCGTAATCATCCAGGATTTTAGACCATTAATTTTGTGACCAGGAATTAGACCAAAAATTCCTTAATTGTGACATCTTATTGGATTTTGTCCATTTAGAGGCAGACTGCTTTTGAC